CTCTTTCTTTCACTTCAGGTTCTCTCTCTCGCTGCTCTCTCTCTCTCTTCATCTCTCTCTCTCTCTCTCTCTCTCTCTCCCCTCTCTTCACTATTTTTCCCTACCATCCTTACCTGACACTGCTTGCATTGGGTCACACATAAGCAATACCTACTTTGATAAAAAAAAACCTACACTCATAGCAAATCACAGACGATGAAACAACCTATATAAGCACAGTGGTAGCGACTTTTGTATCTCCCTGCGTGGCAAAGTTCCCTCAACAGTCATCGCAAACACTTCATCAATGAAATTCTGGCAATTTACGAGTATCCCAGCCACATTTCCCCTGCATGCATTCACGAGCAGCGTTTAAGCAGTAAGAGCATCTGCTGATTTCTAAAAAAACTTTCAAGGAACGCGCCTAAACGTTCGCACCAGGCGTAGACAGGTCGTTTCGTCGGCTTCGTCGATTGCTATGAACGCGCGGTTTTAAACTCAGGTAGAAAGTGATCACGACCCCCCACAGCATCAGAAACGTGCGCCGAAACAAACACAAGCGGGAAGGGGAGGGAGAGGGGAAGGGGAGGGGGAGGTGAGGGGAGAGGTGGAGAGGAGAGGGAGGAGGTGGGGGAGAGAGGAGAGGGAGGGGAGGGGAGAGGGGAGGGGGCAGGGGGAGGGGGTAACACCACAGCACGTGTACACAGGGAAGCCACGTCTCGAGTCGTTGTCGTCGTTAACGACCGCACACATGCGCACACAGACACACACACACACACACACACACATCACACACTCACGACGAGGACACCACCATGCCAGAGAGACGTCGTTACATAAATACCTTCACCGGACACTTGGTCATTACCCAAAATTGATATATCTTCCTGAAGCCAAGAACCTGTGATAGCGGGAGCATAAATACAACAGTGTCAATGCTCACACATTCTACCAGACGTCTCGCATGCAACCAAGAGAACAGTGTCCACCCTCGGAGGAAGATGCCGTTTACGGAAAAACCAGAGAAGTTCAAGAACCCAACCACCATTAGGGGGGGGTGAAGGCACTTCTAGGTAGTGGCATGCACGTAATCATGAACATCTACAGAGTGAGTGAGAGCCACGCTCGATCCCTGCCTGCTTCGCACGCACGCACGCAAACCTGCGCTGTACCACAAGGCTAGACCCGAGTATTGATTGCCAAACGAGACTGAGGAGCGTGGCGGATGCTTTTAAAATGACACAGTTTTACACCCGGTCGTCGGCGACGACGATGACGGATGTAATGTCGGCCGTGTCAGCCGACGGTAACGTCGTCGCCATCACGCAGCAGTAAGTACTGCATCTCTCCTTCCTTCACACGCACTCCCGTCACCGCCTCAGTCGACGACGACCGCGCGGTTATGTTTTCGCATCCGATTACGGTAAGAAGGCGAAGGGGAGATAACGCAAATAAAGGCCGGGACAGCCTCGCAGTCTGGTCGCGCATGCAATCTCCGCAACCATGCTACTTCTATCGCGAGATTCTCTCTCTCTCTCTCTCTCTCTATCAAGAGAGAGAGAGAGAGCGAGTAAGCGGTCGTGCACACGTCTCGCAGGCTTAGTAAGGCGCGGGCGGGCGTGCGTTCGTTCGTTTATACCTCTCATACGATTAGCGTACTGCTTGACGATGCTGGTTGGCGGTGGAGGGTCACCCGCACCCTGCCGCGCGTCCACCGGCGAGGCCGCCACCGGCTCTGCAACAGCGGGCGTGGCCTCGCACTCTGCGACCGCCGCGCTGTCAGAGGGTGGGGCCTCGTCAGTGGGAGGGGCTGCGTCGTTGGCGGCCGCGCTTTCGACCTCTTGTTCGGGAGTGGAGGCCGTGTCAGTAGCCGAGTCAGCTGTATCCCATGCAAAAGCAAAAACACACTGGGTTGTTAAGGCCTAGTGTGGGGTTAGTGCCGGCTGCCAGCTGCATCTTCCCACGCCCACCGCTACCCCACGCCCATGCTCACTGCTGCCCCGGGGAGAGCGAGAGAAACGACCCCCATGCCACACGACCACCCTCACTGCTGCCTCGGGGAGAGCGAGAGAGGAACCACCCCCCTGCCCCAGGGAGAGCGAGAGAGGAACCACCCCCCTGCCCCGGGAAGAGCGAGAGAGGAACCACCCCCCTGCCCCGGGGAGAGCGAGAGAGGAACCACCCCCCTGCCCCGGGGAGAGCGAGAGAGGAACCACCCCCCTGCAGCAGCAGCCCCAGCCGCAGTGGGTGGGTGGCTCCTACGCACATGGACAGTCCGGAGAAAAAATGCTACACATACTCTGTTATTATTATCTAGTTCACGCCGCCGGCGCGCCGCCGGCGACGAATAGAAATGCGCATTCCGGCGTTCCGCGGTACGTACGCCTCTCACCAGGTGGCGTACGCTCTACCACAGTCCTGTTGACCTGCCACCAGGGGGAGCCGTAACCTTTGTGCTGCTGCGGCCGGACGCCTTGGTGCTTGCTGCATAGTCCTCGCCCGTGATAGGGTTGTGGTCACCTGTAAGTGTGACATCAGAGAGGAGAGATGAGGATAAGTACATGATGGGGAGAGAGATGAGCGCCTTTCTCTCTCTCCAGGGTTCATAGTAGTAAGACACATGTTGAAATAAGGACTTATAAGACCCTTTCTGGAGGCCAAAATAAGACTTTTTTACGCGATTTCTGATAGATCACCGACTATTATAGTACACTAATAATATTTATATATACACAATTGCACAGCAGATTTAATTATTCCGTATTATATATACAACAATTCTTACTCTAAGTCGAGAACAGTTTATAAAACAATTTATATAAAATATTGTAGGTTGCAAAATACAAGGACTATTAAGTACTTTTCTAAGATTTCACCAAAAATAAGTACTAACAAAGGCCCTTATTTTATTTTTGGCAAAATAAGTACTTATAAGACTTTGGAAGACCCGCTACGAACCCTGACTCTCTCTCTCTTTCACCTACCTACATACAGCCAGTAGTACCTGTCTCACTGTGCTAGGTTCACGTACGTTTGACATACGAATGCACCCTTTAACTAAGCTCCCACCGCAGCTTTCCATGATAAATACTTCCCCTTTCACACTTATACCCCTGCTATTACGTCTAGATATATATATTATACGCACGAATGTAGATTCTCATTATCTAGAGTGATGACATGGTAGTATTCATGTGCAAAGTTATCATATGCTAGTACATAGAATACACATGTGAACAGTAACGATGAAATTCTAGCGTGCACGATTAGAAGTTTTAATTCATGCAGTTTTTAAATATTAATGACACAAACAATCATGCATATTATAGTAAAAGGGCAAGCACGCCAGCATAGTGCTGCTGTAAGAGACAGAGAGTGTGGGGGCCGAGGGAGGCACCTGAAAACCATAAATGATTCAATGTAGCAACCAAAGTTACACTTGCTGTTTATATAGATATGTAGATTTATCTCTTGCTCCACCCCACCTCCTTATACTTGCTCTCTATCACCCATCCTCTCTCTCAGACTCTCTTTCTTTCACTCAGTTTCTCTCTCTCGCTCTCTCTCTCTCTCTCTCTCTCTCTCTCTCTCTCTCTCTCTCTCTCCCTCTCTTTCACTATTTTTCCCTACCATCCTTACCTGGACACTGCTTGCATTGGGTCACACATAAGCAATACCTACTTTGATAAAAAAAACCTACACTCATAGCAAATCACAGACGATGAAACAACCTATATAAGCACAGTGGTAGCGACTTTTGTATCTCCCTGCGTGGCAAAGTTCCCTCAACAGTCATCCAAACACTCATCAATGAATTCTGGCAATTTACGAGTATCCCCGCACATTTCCCTGCATGCATTCACGAGCAGCGTTTAAGCAGTAAAGCATCTGCTGATTTCTAAAAAACTTTCAAGGAACGCGCCTTAAACGTTCGCACCAGGCGGTAGACAGGTCTTTCGTCGGCTCGTCGATTGGCTATGAAACGCGCGGTTTTAAACTCAGGTAGAAAGTGATCACGACCCCCCACAGCATCAGAAAACGTGCGCCGAAACAAACAACAAGGGAAGGGGAGGGAGAGGGAAGGGGAAGGGGAGGTGGAGGGGAGGTGGAGGGGAAGGGGAGGTGGAGATGGAGAGGGAGGTGGAGAGAGGGGGGAGGGGGAGGGGAGGGGGAGGGGTAACACCACAGCACGTGTACACAGCAGAAGCCACGTCTCGAGTCGTTGTCGTCGTTAACGACCGCACACATGCGCACACAGACACACACACACACACACACACACATCACACACTCACGACGAGGACACCACCATGCCAGAGGACGTCGTTACATAAATACTTCACCGCGACACTTGGTCATTACCAAAATTGATATATCTTCCTGAAGCCAGAACCTGTGATAGCGGGAGCATAAATACAACAGTGTCAATGCTCACACATTCTACCAGACGTCTCGCATGCCAACCAGAGAACAGTGTCCAGCCCTCGGAGGAAGATGCCGTTTACGCGAAAAACAGGAGAAGTTCAAGAACCAACCACCATTAGGGGGGATGAAGGCACTTCTAGGTAGTGGCATGCACGTAATCATGAACATCTACAGAGTGAGTGAGAGCCACGCTCGATCCCTGCCTGCTTCGCACGGCACGCCCACGCAAACCTGCGCTGTACACAAGGCACTAGAGCCGAGTATTGATTGCCAAACGAGACTGAGGAGCGTGGCGGATGCTTTTAAAATGCACAGTTTTACACCGGTCGGTCGCGACGACGATGACGGATGTAATGTCGGGCCGTGTCAGCCGACGGTAACGTCGTCGCCATCACGCAGCAGTAAGTACTGCCATCTCTCCTTCCTTCACACGCACTCCCGTCACCGCCTCAGTCGACGACGACCGCGCGGTTATGTTTTCGCATCCGATTACGGTAAGAAGGCGAAGGGGAGATAACGCAAATAAAGGCCGGGACAGCCCTCGCAGTCTGGTCGCGCATGCAATCTCCGCAACCATGCTACTTCTATCGCGAGATTCTCTCTCTCTCTCTCTCTCTCCTATCAAGAGAGAGAGAGCAGAGCGAGTAAGCGGTCGTGCACACGTCTCGCAGGCTTAGTAAGCGCGGGCGGGCGTGCGTTCGTTCGTTTATACCTCTCATACGATTAGCGTACTGCTGACGATGCTGGTTGGCGGTGGAGGTCACCCGCCACCCTGCCGCCGCGTCCACGGCGAGGCCGCCACCGCTCTGCAACAGCGGGCGTGGCCATCGCATCCTCACCCGCCGCCGCGCTGTCAGAGGGTGGGCCTCGTCAGTGGGAGGGCTGCGTCGTTGGCGGCCGCGCTTCGACCTCTTGTTCGGGAGTGGAGGCCGTGTCAGTAGCCGAGTCAGCTGTATCCCATGCAAAAGCAAAACACAACTGGGTTGTTAAGGCCTAGTGTTGGGGTTAGTGCGCGCTGCCAGCTGCATCTTCCACGCCCACCGCTACCCCACGCCCATGCCTCACTGCTGCCCGGCCCGGAGAGCGAGAGAACACGACCCCATGCCACACGACCACCCTCACTGCTGCCTTCGGGAGAGCGAAGCAGCAACCCCCCCTGCCAGCGAGGGACACCCGCGAGACGAGAGAGGAACCACCCCCCTGCCCCGCGCGAGAGCGAGAGAGGAACCACCGCTGCCCCTGGCCCGGGGAGAGCGAGAGAGGAACCACCCCCCTGCCCCGGGGAGAGCGAGAGAGGAACCACCCCCCTGCCCCAGGAAGAGCGAGAGAGGAACCACCCCCCTACCACACGACCACCCTCACCACCACTGTCGCGTAGAGTCGCAACAACAGCTTCCTCACACGACAACCGCTTATCGCGGGCATGGCGTTCAAACCAATAGAACATTCGGGTGTGAACCTCCGCTTTCCCCAAGCCCCCACCCAGTGGTAAGGAGAGCACTGGATCTTTGCAAGTCTTCATTTTGTAGGTGGTGAATGTGTGAAGCAAAACCACGAATGGAGTAAGAGGTGATTGACTTGGTAATGCGGTATTCATAGATCTGTCTATTATTAATTCATTCATTTCTTAATGAATGAGACATACAAGTGCAAGTTTAAGTGCATCTATGACGTTGAAAATAACACTAAAGTTTTAGACAGTAACTAAGGTGTCTAGCCAGTGCAAATCCAACCAAATTTACAAATGAAAAAAAATTTGACAATCACATAATGCAACCTACAAAATGAAGATTTGTATATGTGTACACCTGTACTCACTACTCGAAATAACCTATGCACATTTAATGTCTACAAAGTCCATATCGAAAATTAAAAAGAAAGAAAAAAAAAGATGTAGTACAGAACCCAAATGATTTACAAAATGTGATGGGGTGGGGTGGGGGTGTCCACTCACATAGGGGGCTGGAGTGTGGGAAGGTGCAGGCCGGTAGCGTAAAAAATATGGCCACACTGGCGCTATCCCAAACATGCACAAAAAGCAAGCAGGCACAGAGAAGCGGGTCTGACGTCTCAAGGTCTTACGAGAAATGTAGGCAGTTGCCATTTTACACAAGAAACAAAATATTGGGATGCATAACTATACGCAGAAACAACATTCGTTATTCATCGCTTGATGACGTTAGACATGCGTAGGTAAAGCGCATGCGGGGTTAAAGCGAAACAAATTCCATCGGAAACAAACGAATTATGTCCGAACGAAATGATGGAATTTTACAAAATTTGGACAGCAACAATAGGAATGCAATGCTGGGTGTGAAAGCAATCAATTTTGCCTTCAAAGATAACTCTCGACCCATTTTCGGGCGAGATGGCCTTGCAAACGTTATCCAACACATGACATATTTCTGCAGGTTTTCGTGTATACTCTATAGTTATAAAACATACGTGCTAACCTTACCCTCTCGTCGAGAAATATGAACAAACACGCACATTACATAAATATGTAACAAAAGCAAGGCCTTTTTTTACAAGACAGACATGCAAACGTACGCTAATTTACGTAATGAGGGGGGTTTGGAAACCTATAAGAAAAAACTTTGTGACTGCGGCCACACATTGTGTTAGGCTTCAGTTCAACCAGTGCAGCATTAATCATGAATGGGTTATTGCATCAGTCAGTTACGTGCAGGCTAGTCGACTGTTAATTATTAAGTAACAGGTGCAAGTACAACACACGTGGTACGCAACTTGTGCCAAACAGAATAATTGCTTTTTTCTCGAGGTTCTGGGCAATCTCAGTAAAACGAATAGAGATTGCCACTTATGGACGTCACATCCATCACAGCTTACTAAATCATGGCAAGTAATGTGTCGGACGACGTGACTAAATATCACACACACGCACGCGCGCGCGCACGCACACACATCCCAAATACACGGACGTGTGCAAACGATGTGTCCTCACTCTCACACTTTAATCACAGGCATTTTCGCATAATACAACTTAATTTTTGTAATTCGCACAACTAACAACGCATGTCATTTTCTCCCCCTCGCTGATGTATTGCGTTGCCTTTTCGTATAATCTCTCGCATATATCCTAGCCTTGCTGCTAGGTTACTGTCAAATATTGTAGCCTGCATGACTAATTAGACAGTGCCAGCCATTCAGCTTGGTTAACGTCATACTAGGCACCGCCAATGCAGCACACTGGCAACGCATGGTTACTGACCGCGTTTTGTAGGAGCTTCCTCGGTTGGCGTGGCAACCTCGCAGGGCTTCTCCTCTGCGGCAGCCTTCTCATCCTGTTGGCTCTCCTCCGCCGCCGGCTTGTCCTCTTTGTGGCTGCAGCACGTACAAAGATACAACACTCAGCCGTGAGCCTGGGGGGAGAGGGGGAGGCGAGGGAGGCAAGGGCAGGCCCCTTCCTACGTTGCGCAAACCGGGCGCGCCCGCCCCGTTTGGGAAAACTCCCCCCCCCACGTTTCAATCGTTGCGCCACGTTTAAATTACTTCTGCCCCAATTAAATTCCACCACAATAAAAGTTTGACAGCGCGGGAATCGAGGTCGGCATATGTTTCCATGAACCAGAGTATTCATGTGACGTTCACTGGCGTCACGCACAAACTCTGCTATCTCCGAAGTTGAATGCATACAGCCTGCTGATGGTGCTGGTGGTTGCGCATGGTCATATTCCATTCTACTCATATCAACTTCCGCATCAGACTTTTCGTATATCAAGGAATGATGCAAAAACCCTAAACCTAACCCTAACAATAACCCGACTCGGTTATCTTATATACGCGTGTTATAGTACCAACACTATCTATGGTGGTAGATAGCCACTGACGTACACTGACGTCACGCGGATACTCTGTTTCATGAAAACATATGCCCACCGGGAAGTAGTTTCCCCCTCCCCCTCCCTCCCTGTTTCAATTTCATCCTGGGGAGAACCCTGGAGGGGAGGGAGATGAGGGAGGGGGAGGGAAGGGAGAGAGGAAAAGGAGACATGGCGAGACAGACACGATTCAGCATCTATAGATATACTGCAGGTGGAATTCAATGCATTGAACGATTGCCTGACATCAAAACTGTGATGATGAATATAATTTGTGCACATTCACAAGCAATATTAACGCCCAATTCAATTTTCTTTACAATAACATCACGACCAAAGATAGGGAGAGAGCGGAAAGCATCCACAATGAAGAACTGAAGCATCTAGGAATAGTGATGGTCTTCTAAAATAATCCGAGCGGGAAGAAGAGAGAGAGGGAGAATCGAGAGAAAGAGAAGCGAGGAGAGGTCTACCAGCCCGCCCCTACGTGGGAACAGGGACATTGGCACGCGGGGAACCTACCCGTAGTCCGGCGCATCACCGAAGATGTTAGAGGAGCCTCGCGGTCCGCCAATGTTCCTTGGCTTTGCCGTGTTGTTGTTGGCGGCAACGCTGTCTGTACCAAAGATGTCCGACTTCTGGTAATTCTTCACCCTCCTCGGTGCATCGTCCACGTCCGGTCCACCGAAGATGTTACTTGACGCGCCGCCGGGGGGACGCGAGATTCTGCACAGTGAATACCATGCCAAGGTGAGCGCCACGCTGGGACGTGTAACCGCGAGGATTTAGGCCGATGCATTGTATCCCAGTTTTAAATAACGGGTATAGATTAGAGATATTAATGCAGTAATGCAGGGGTCGAAATTAGCGGTATCCCGATATCCGCGGGATAGTAGATTCTTGCGTTGGATACCAGATTTCAATGATTGGTATCACGTCGGAATAGTAAAAAAAAAATCATCAAAATCGGGATAGTGGTTGTTGAGCATATTTGGAAGCACAAGCGTAAGCTTAGCTGATGTTGATCATAAATATGATGTGTATACATTGTATCAAGCGAACCAGACAATGCGTCTAGACAATACGTACGTCTGCAGTGTACTTGTCTGTGCATATCTGTTAATCTGTTTTCATGTTTTTATATAATAATTACATTACATATTAATAATTTTCAAATGCTATTATTGCATATTTCAAGATTTTGGATACCAACATTGTTGAAATTACTATCCAAAAAATGGGATACCAGATCTTTGGGGGGAATACCAGATTTCAATACCTGGTATCCCGAATGGATACCATAATAGAAATCTAATTTCGCCCACTGTAATGACTAATGAGTAATGGTTCAAAAATATAACTGAACCCAGCAAGTAGTTAGCGCAAGTTACAAAATATTAATTATAATATATTATATATTTAATTATAATTTTAATTTTATATTCCATGCCGTGTCCACTTCAGACTCTTGCATGAACACTAAAAGTAAAAGTAAAAGCTTCTAATTCAGAATGACTAACTGCAATATGTAATGCTAATGGGGAGTAATGCACTGTAAGGCTCTACTGTGGAAACATCAACACAATTATATGCTGAGAATTCACGCTGCTGAAAATTTTGCCAACGTTCAACTTTCAGTTCAACGCTTTTGCCAGCGAGGATGGTGCGACACCACCCAAACTGCGCCGGTAATTACTGCTGCCAAAATGCCGCCAAACCTACTTCGCTATTATCGTAATTTAACAAGTTCCGCGTGTCTTCAAACATACCTTGAACCAGCCTTGCCATCCTCATTGAGACCAACATGGATCGTTGTAGAACCCATCTTTCCTTAGAGCGATATTATGAACAAGAAAAGTTTAGATAATTTGGAAGAAGAAATAGGCGGTTCACTTTCTCAAACAGGAAGCGTCTGCGAGCGCTATCATCATCGATTCATCATATCCGCCACGTCCATTTTCACTAATTTCGACGGTAGATGGCGGTATAACAAACATGTCAGCGCTCTGGTGTAACATTAGAAGTTAGTTAGAAATTTGACTGAGTTCTTCTAATGTACTTTACGGATACTTGCAACTCTTTGTGAACCATGTCATTGCCTAAACATCATGTTGCGTTGGTCAGAACACTTTACAAGCGAATACTGCGGCTTCATCGGGGACTCAATCCCGAATTAAGAGCGATGGGAGACGAGTATGCAAAAGCCGAGTTTAAAAGACATATGAAGGCCTCACCAGAGCAGACTGTGAAATTTGTGAAGGCTTGGGTTGATTACGCCTTTACCTTATCTAAGCAGTTATCTGGGATGGAGCCTAAAGCGTCGTACGGAAGGTAAATATTTGTAGTTCTTAGATACGTGTAACCAATAAACCATTGCCATTGCCATTGGCATTGGTCACCGTTAAACTTTGAAGAACGACCATTATTTGACATTGTCATTCGATTCATTGTGTTGGTGATTGATCTAGATACAATAATGTAACCAAACAAGAGTATGGTTACATTATTGTGTCTATTGATTGATCGTGCAGCGCGTTAGACATCAGTAATTAATATTAGATCTGAAATCAACGAGCGAACGCACCTCACTACATTTACCGTATATTATGACACTAAAACAGTTGTTCTGTTGAAATATCGTCTATCTCACAATATGTCAAAAAAGAGAAGATCATTTTCATTTTCTGTTCATTTTATACCACTAACAAAATTAATCTTACAATCGTATTTTATTTTGGATAGACGTCTCAGCCATGAAGAATTGAACAGTTTTAGTGAGGAACAGATATACCAGCTGTACCACCTAAACCAAGAAGCAACTGGAAAAACAGAAGATGCCAGCAGATAACATCCAACTTGCAAGAACGAGAACTTACCAATTGAAATGAGGCAATCGGGTGTATTTAGAATTGGAATGTGAATTTGTGTCGTAGAAGTTTAGAACATAGAAACATAGAACATAGAATAGAGAACGTCTAATAATGTAATTTTGAAATCACTTGTGTGATAAGTAATAAAGTTTGTTGTTTATGTTATTTATAAATCTTATCTATTAGTCTTTATCTGCTTATAATACAACTTGCATACAACTCTCCTCACCACAACAGAACTGTCATGCTGAAGTCATGTATGTGCCTACATTATGGCACTATGATAGAGTTAGTATCTTATTATGCAAAATAATGCAATATATGATTTATATTGTGATCTTGCCTACCTTTACTCTCCTCTTCCTTCTTTCCACCCAGCCTTCTTTCCTCCTGTATTGTCTTTTCTCCACCACCGTCTCTCCTCCACTTAAAACCCCTCCTCCACCTGACTACCCTCCTTCATTCGCCCTTCAGCCGCTCTTCTTTCATACATTATCCACTCTTCAAGTTTCTCCCTTCCTGCATCCCCTGTCCATTCTCCACTATCCAACCTCTCCCCTCTTCCAAATTTCCTACTCCTCTACCATGACTCCTCCCTCCTCAACTTCTCTGCCCTTTTCCTTCATCCACCTCTCAATTTTGTATTTCAATTATTGTACCTCCACATACTGTAAAACAAAACGGAGTGTAAAACAAAACACTAGGTTTTATATAAGCTTTATAGCTTTCTAACCTCTAGCCACTTGTCTTGAGGGGACAAGTGGCATCTAGGTAAATATCCAGGTAAGACGAAAAAATCAACCTTCATAGTTTTCACGTGCACGTGTTTTATTTATAATTATGTCCGCCAGGTGGCGGGATTACATGTTATGATTGTTAACTTATCATTTGCTTGAGATTGTGGAGCGGGAAGATTTGGTATTTCGGGAGCTAGTAAACATTTATTACGTGTGTATTATTTTGTTGCATATAAATATGTACTTTATTTTGTGGTACAATGGGAGATGTGTGATGCTTTATTCTGTGATGCATGTAAAGCTTGGCGCCAGCCACTGGCCATGATCTCATGCCTTTGAAGTTGACGTTTTTCAAAAGCTAGAATTATTTTTATTCATTACTCATTAGACATTATTAATAATAATAATATTATTATTATTATTATATTTTTCTACATCATGATATAACATTATCATGACTCATAAATCATAAACAGTGGAATTTTTAGATGATGGAGTAGTGAATAGCGCTACCCGTGTTATATAAGTTATAACTTATACTACTATAAGTATAACTATAACTGTATAAGTACTATATCATAATCATAGCCATAGGCTCTGGTACAGCCTTAGCTCATAGATACTACCCCAAGGGTACTTGGGGTAGTACTTGGGGTAGTATCTATGCTTAGCTCTAGTACTATAGCCCGCGTTCATTAACTGCCGCAGGCAAGTGTCAACCAACCGGGCTATAGTACTAGAGCTACTGAGCTAGTACAGCCTATGCTATAGTACTTAGTAGCTCTAGTAACTATAGGTACCCTGTGATTTCACCATATTACCATACGGTAAGTACTACTAGTACTAGTAGTAGTACTATAGTTAGTGAAGTGCTTGTATTTACAGATGATGAGATCTAATGAAGATCATGGAGAGAGTGTTGATATTGACGTATCTGAAGTCTCGGCTGTAGAGCAGCTGCTGGGGTTCCTCGCCGATATCAACAAACAGAGGAGCGAAGCTGAGACGGTGTGCCAGCATTATCGTACCATCTTTAAACAAAGGAGGTGAAGTTGAATACAAGAGCGTAGCTAACCCATTGGCATTGTGCGTGGGGGAGGGGCAAAGGCATGTGCGTGGGGGAGGGGCAAAGGCATGTGCGTGGGGGAGGGGCAAAGGCATGTGCGTGGTGCGAAGGTGGCTGCCATTGACTACGTAATGTATTTATATTTCTCTAGGGGGAACAACTCACTGCCCCTCCTCCCGGTATTTACGGCTCTGAATTCATATAGTGTTATGAGTCGACATCTATTATAACTATAATTAATTGTGTAGCGCTTGTGGTAACATTTTAGCATTGTGTCCACGCTGAGCTTTGCCAGGTTGATGATATATTTCTACTGGCATAGTGGTTAGCATGTTTATGGGTGCGTGCACAACATAACCATACAAATTTTATTATGAGCAGCCCCAAAATAAGGCTGCACACAAACACCTTGTGTTCTTTCCTTCAGGAGGCAGTATATACAGAGGCTGTTAGACAATAATAAGCAAGATCCATCGCCAAAAAGTGAGGATGTCGACTTAAAACCGGGTATTAAAATTCTGCTTACATCATGTACCATCATTTATCACGCAGTTGTTAAGATGAACGTATCTTAAGGTTTATGTGATTGCATATATATATCAATGTTCATTTTATCTGTTGTCAAATCCTATAATTTGCTTTAGCTCCCAGTGTTGAAGTTAAAGTCCCAAAATCAAACTTTATATGCACACTTAAAAATCAAGGCAACATTCTCTCAGGGATAAGATTCACCGTCTGGTGTGCTGGCTTGCGCATGGTCACGGTCGTCACGTATTTGATGTTCCGATCGCTCGTTACAGATTCACCGGACGAGAACCCACTGGAGCTCGTCGAATCCGCACTCAGGAAGTCGAGAGAGACGCGAGAGAGACTGCAGCGACGCCGCAATGTCACTCAGCCTCTGTTCACTGCCACGGACCCAGCCACTCATCCAGCCACTCATCCAGCCACTCGTCCAGCCACTCACCCAGCCACTCGTCCAGCCACTCACGCGAGTCTGCTATCTGATGCTCTCCGAGATAACGACCCTGGTCAGCTCGACGCAATCCTGGAGGAAACTAACCGAGAGGGGGCGCCACCATTGGCTGCATCCCGTGTAGCCGCCACCTACACAGATGAAGGAGGGCCGATACCTGGCGAGGTGATGCCGGCGGAAATCGGCGAGAAAAGCGAGAATAAATTGCAGTTTCTTGTGGCAGAGGGTGCTGCAGGTAGCGGCGTCATATCGCAGTCGAGATTGCAAGACTTGCTTGCCTCCGTGCATCTCGCGTCGAAGCCGAAGCCTAAACTCACGGGAGCGCCACCTAGGAGGGACGACGGATCGTTGAAGGCTTTATCACGGCCGACAGCGACGCAGCGTCGACCCGCCACGCAGCCACAGACCACGCGCGCGGCGGCCTCATCGCGACCCCATCGCCCCGGCAACCCATCCGGCGTTCCGGCGAACCCGGCGCGCGTGTCAGTGGCAGCCGTCCGCCCGCGTCCATCGCCGAGGCAGCCGTCGTCGCTCTCCGTTGCAGGCGGTCGTGAGAGACACACAGTTAAAGCCAGCTGGCGTCCAGCGGGGGACGAGGCGTCGAGGCGGGACCCGGCGTCGGCAGCGTGCGCGGCGCGACAGCGCGGGGGAAGAGCCGAGCCGCCGCCGCCGCCACGTGATCCAGGAACGCGCGAGAAACAGTCGCGTCGACAACCACAGGGGGGCGGCGGCGGTGACGCGCGGAAAGAAGCGAAGTGCGCCAGCGGATCAGACGAACAAACGAGGAAAGACGTCAGGTAAGGTTCTGCTCCACAGGGAGGGGTGGTGGGGGGGGGACCGGTCACACGAAGCAGGAGCGGTGTCTGTAAGATGTTGCCGGTCGTGCAGCGCGGCGATCGTCTGCTCTACGCTTCACAACGATGGCAGCGGGAATATTCACGGAGTTTCCCTTCAGTGTTGTGCAGGTGCCAGACGAGCAGGCCATGGAAGAACTGAGGAGGGTCTGCAGGAAACACGAGCGATTGAAGAGAAGCCTACGACGAGAGGTGGAGGAGGGTTGCACGGACAGAGAGGCGTTCCTTAGCCAGCTGGAGTCGCTAGTATGTAGCGTTAGTCGGTGGAGATGAGGCGCTCCGCCATAGTTATTGCTCTCAGTGAGAGCCAAGCACTGCTGCTGGTCTTCCTAAGTTAACTATATAGCAGTTTAATTTTAAATATACAAAATTAAATAATAAGTGATATGTAATATACGACAGTATAATTCAACTACATTCTATTACCTATTGACGAACGATGCTGTTTGTACGTGTGTATAAAATATATATGTTATACATAACAGTCAACCATTGGTTGTCGATTTCAGAAGGCAGTCCATTGTTGCAAATCATTATGACTCGCTTCTGTCGTTGTCGTAGATGCAGCCCGATAAACCAGCACAAGCGGAACACGCCAGCAGAGGGAGTGACTGTAGTTGTCCGCGGCAGATAGCTTACAGGGACCCTTCAGAGTTGCAGCAGCTGATGGACTTGGTGTGTGAGACGCAGATGCTCAGCCTGCAGGTGGCGCTGTTAGATAGCGTAAAGGAGCTGGCGCCTATGACGCAGCACGAGGAAGGGTGAGCGAATAGAGTGACTGCACTCCCGAGGTCATTACAAACACGCATCAAGCCGGTAGAAATTTACGATGCCCCTAAATCTGTTAGCAGATCTACGGATTGTTTTGCTAAAATCCTGAACTTTTCATTAATAGGGGCCTGGAATGGTACCGCATTTTAAGTGGAATGGTAGAGGGCACCACCACCTTTCCGACGTTAATAAAGGACAAAGTACTGGAGCTGGGCTGATTTGTCCGTTCTCATCAATTCTACGTCCTTGAATCCCAGCATCAGTTGGAGGAACGAGTGTTAAAACTAATCATCAGGTGGTGCAACGTGATGTATACATGTATTGCAGCTGTCTAAAGGTCTGTAAGACACGTTAGCTGATTCTTCTGTTTTATCTAAACAAGGAGCTAGGCAGTAACACAATTACTATGATTAATAATACTTGATTTGACACAGCACTCATAATTTCCAAATTTATTTATTTTTTAAACATTAAGTATTGATGATTTAATACATATATATGTACATACGTGATATTTTCTATATTCTTACAAATATACAGATATCGGTTTTTATGTTTCACACAACTATTATGTATGTTGGTTATCACATTGTTGTTGAACACTACTCAGTTGAAATGGATGTAATCCCGCCCCTCCATCAAATTGAGCGATGCCAGATTCTTCTCGAAAATGCCTCCAGTCAAATCCTGCCAACAAAAGTAAAAAATGCAATCACCAGCATGTTAGCTGCATCACATGCTGTATCTCAGAATTATAGTCACTAATGACTGCTTGGTGAGGTAAGGTTGGATGTAATAGGAAAGACTACATGAGAGAGGCAGCTAGTGTGCATTGTGGTTGTAGCTGCAACACTGTCATGCCCTTACAGGATGCTGTTGCCGGTTAATGTATAGAGGGCAGAAGGCAGAATAAACGCAGCACTGCACTGTAACATTGCAGGAATTTCTATGTGAAAACACTTCTACTATATTTACCATCTTCACACAGATGACAAACGGGGGTTTGGCCTCAGTGAAATGAACTATAGGCACCCTAGGTCGCGGCAAGCACTGAAAACAAAATCCGGTATTGGGACTAAGAACTTGCACAAAATAACTAGTATGTGCATAAGGTAACGATATCTATGAGATAATGTGGAATGGACATAGTTTTTGGCAAATGTACTACACTTAAGGAAAAAGTCTAGTGCACAAATGTGGTAACTCACTGCCAGTAACTATATCGTAGTGTTACTAGCAGGACCTCAGAAAACTTAGTCTCTCCGACTCGCAAAATGTTTGAATCGATACTGCAATGTTTCAAAGATCTTTTCGATTCTTGGACATTAAGTTCTAGGTTTCTTTTCTCGATTCCACGACTGCATTCGAGGACTAGACCAGCTGCGGTGCTTACCGTTGATTCCTCATGTGTGTAAACTCCCTTCGCAATCTTCTTCTTATCCACATCACAAAATGACATCACCTGGAAGAGTGGGACATCATTTTCATGGTATATCATTCTGACGTGATTAAGCCTTTACGATACTGTACCATCGTTGTTCGGTAACATGGTTACACGGTAAATTACTTGACTGCACACACACTACTGCACCGTTACCACCTAACCATGAACCCGTCGTGTGAATACCATTATAACAACACGGCCTGACCCATTGTGACTTTTCTGCACATTTCCTAATCACTGACGAGTGGCCAACCACATTTACTCAATCCTAATGTTCATAGCAACGATATTAGAGCAATGCAGATGGCAGCACATGAGCGGGTGAGCTAACCTTATTCCTGTTCTCCACAGAGAGAGATCTGTATAGCTTCCTTCCCTGCTTACCAGCATTCCATATGGTGAATTCTTTCCACTTGCTAAGCACTGCAGTCTCCAAGGCTCTCAATCTCACATCCCAGATTGTATCCCTGTAACACATGCACTGTACGACACAGCGTATATGACGAAACAACGACGGATTCATTTTTGGTTGTTGACTACCACATCTAAAAGTTATGCCTCAACTTACTCGAGCACGGAGAAGGTGGCGCCGCCCTGGTGGTAACGGTACATGAGAAGTACATGGTCCACTCTGTGGAGCTGTCCACCCAACTCTAGATGTCTGAGGAAGAATATGAGATCTTCTGGTGTGCCCTGTGGAGCAAACATAATCGAGTAATGCTTGTTGTTCGTTGGATGTTGCCATGCCGATTGTCTCCGAAAATTTACAGTCATTCTTGGGTTATCAACAAACACTTGGCAAAGGTAGGAACGCTTTGCCTGATTTATGAACGTCTTAGAAAGATTACCAGGTCATGATGAAAAGGTGTGTTCCTTTAATTATTAATTAATGTATTATGTGCATAGTAACGGCAAACATACTTTTCACAGAAAACGACAAGGAATCTCAAAGTACATCCTCTTTTCTTGCATGGCAACTTAAAATGTATGGATTTTATAAGTGGTTTTCTCTTCCCTACTCATGATTTAATTCATCAGTGTATTTTACGCATACGTCTCAGTTGCTGACTATCAGTGCAGATTTACAATTCTTCGTTATCGGGGAACTAACCTTGCCTGCCTCACTGAATCCACCGACAGCGTCGTATAACTCCCGTGCGCAGAACCATGTCGGCATTAGCAGAGTCGGACCATGCGATGTGTAAGCCTGCAACAGAACAATCAGAGCGAATCTGCCACGCGTCGCCCGGCGTAGCAATAAACCACACAAAGTCATCGAGTAAGTGATAAATCAAAGCTCTCTGATTTTGTTTTGGTTACCTGGTCTTTCGTTATCGCAGATCGGCTAAAAACAGTGTGAACTTCACGACGCGGCCACCATCGTTGTTTAATTCACGAGCCTACCTGTAGATGGAGCTGCTCGGGGGTGGTGGAGTTTGCCCACTGCACGTAGCGTTGTGTGGAAGCCTCGGGCAGCCTGCGCACCTGGCAGCCCAGCAACGTGTGTCGCGAGCGGACAGACGCCGCTGCGAGCTGGAGACGTACGCGCATCGTTGCCATGACGTCGTCCTGCCAAGCAGACGAACGCCATCGCAACGTCAAGATTTCACGGTTTACACCGTTTTTTGAACTGCAGCGTAACATGTGGTGATTAGGCGAACAGTGATATCATTGCGCGTAACAGTGATTTGGAAGCTGATGTCTATTTAATGCTGGCATATGGTGGCGATATTTACCAATGCTATTCGTCCGAACCACGATAAGTGCGAGGACAACACAAGGAGCAAGTTCGTACTTACAGCATCCAGGAAGCAGAGGTGGGATCCCTGACTCTGTTCAACAGCCCTGTTCTTTGCGAAGCCAACTACAAGGAGATCACACAGGATTGAGACGACTGGTAAAACAGACAGCATCAATGCCGTGCAGGTATTCCATCAGTCCATAAATCCTCAAACGAGCACCAGTTCTATTCAGACCATAAGCCTGAGACTTGTCACTATGGCAGTATGGCAGTGGTGCTATTATTCGATAGAGGGTTCAAGGTTCTCACATCTGACTAGATAAGGTTTTAGCTATCAGCATAGGAAGAGCTAGGTATAGGTTTATCTATCCAAAAACACGTGACACTAGTTATCTGTGAGACATACTTTCTGAAAGCCTACGTGTGCTACAGATTTGTTATGTTAAACATGCGTTTACACCTGCTGCCTAGATGACTGATTAGTGTGGGACTGACGTGAACAGGTGAGAGTTACCTCCGCTAGGCATGCCACTCTTGTTTTCACTGATCACCACGCGGATCCCTCTCTCAGCGAGCGCTGGCGAACAACGCTCGATTATCGCTCTCGAGTCATCCTGAAATAATGAGAGAGGACAAAACTGACAATTTATCGATATTTATCCTCTACACTGTCAATCTTCATTCAGCACGAGGGTTTCGTTTATATCAATGAATAAGCCCTGCATACATATCATCAAACAATGCGTGAGAGAATCGATAATTAGAGCTTAGAACACTATCGGCTATAAAGAAATAGTGTGATGATGTACATGCCTATATTTGGCTTGGGTTAGTGACGACACACTGACGGTAGCCACGACGCGCGATATCGACCCGGCAAAAATTAAAAATGTAGTGTGACAGCTAACCTGTGAGGCGTCGTCGTAAATGGACAGTTCCAGTGAGCCTTGGAAATCCTGGTCACACACAGACCTAAGACACTCTTCGAGCCACAGTGCGGCATTGCACACCGGCAGAACTATCGACTGTAATGTAGCAATTAAAAGATTAAAATATCCTGGAGGTGACAAAAAATAAGCTGACATCACATTTGGAGAGAGGGGTATACACTTTATGGTATGTCTATAGTTTCCCACATGCAATAGTTCCAGTATGCACTGTTGTGTCACATACTGCTCATGCATGGGTTACCGGTCATTTTTATTAAGGAAAAAGATAGACTAACGCTCCATTAGGAGTGTTCCCAACTTTGATATCATTAATGATTACTGATTAATGATTTATAATCCATGATTAATGATTACTGATTAATGATTGATAATCCTAACCCTAACCCTAATCCTAATCCTAACCCTAACCCTAATCTAAATGACATTAAACCACAAACTAATATATGACCATGACCATGACCATGACCATATAATATATATATATATATATATATATATATATATATGTTATTATGACCATTAATGACATTAAAGTTGGGAACACTCCTAATGGAGTATCACCCAAAAGATATGGAAAACGTCCATCCGGATCGAATAAAGTCCAAAGTTATTGGGCCCAGCAACTGAGCCACATAGGTATAGCCTTCACTGTGGTGTTATGCCACATGAGTGTTCCTGGCATGAGTAAACGTCTTCATGGTCACAGCATTTATGCAGTAAGTTGTTGAAGCACGTCCAATCAGTAGTGTCGCTTATCAACAAGCAGAACTCGTGATTGGATGGCCCTGATGTCGTATGTTACCTCCGTGTCGTTTACTTTTGCTGGGTTGGTTGGGTTGTAAATTACGTCAGATCACAAGAATAATAAAATATACTTACTACATCATATGTGCCCTCTAGTGGCATTGTGCATCTTTTCAAGTCGTGTTACATCATCATTATACGCCTGAAAATGATTGCATGAGGCTGAGCAGGTATCTGCACCTCCCGTTGGCAAAATCATCTATATGTTGATGGTGGCCAATATAGAGTAGAAGTAGAAGTAGAAGGTATGACTATATATGACAGTTTCCTCTATGGTTCATTTACTAAGTAATTGACTAATTATCAATGTATACATTACAGACAACAATCACATACAATGTTAATTAAAAATGTGCGGCTAGATACGCGGGTAGGAGAACAAGTAGATACGCGGGTAGGAGAACAAGTAGTATTCAGAGCACATGTCATAAACCCCACGAGCTACACTTGCTACAGCCCGGGGGGGGGTCACTATATATGCCGTTATTACCCCATGTGCGTTCCAAATTTTGTGAGTTAGGGGGGTGTTTTTCAACTTCTAAAGCGGGCCCGCGCGGGAGCAAATAGGCCTCCCTTTACAAAGCTAATCCCGCAGTAAGCCCTCGGGATCGTTCAAGTCAAGCACCGCGCCCGCAGTAGGCCCCCCTCAGGACGAACCACATAGTACCCCGCCCCAGGCCCCGAACGGGCGGCCCCGTAGCACACGAAACTTAAACCCCGCTGCAACAATCATCACGAGGAGCAAGATGAGCGTGAAAAAAGAGAACCAAAAAGAACTTGGTATTCCCTCCACTCTTTGCCCTCCACTTGTCTGCAAGACCTCGCAATAGGGGGTAGGACTCTTTCATTGTGTATGCAATAGTGCTGTGCGTCGGATCCGACATGAACCAAAAATCCGATCCGACAGCATTTTTGAAAATCCGAATCCGAATCCGAATCCGATGGCTATTTTGAATCCCATCCGAATCCGAATCCGATGGCAATTTTTGAATCCGAATCCGAATCCGAATCCGATGTGTATCGCTAAATCCGATCCGAAATCCGGAACATAGAAATTGTAAATAGTGNAGAGAGAGAGAGAGAGAGAGAGAGAGAGAGAGAGAGAGAGAGAGAGAGAGAGAGAGAGAGAGAGAGAGAGAGCATAAAAATTTCAAACATGTTTACAAATGTATAAAACAGTACAAATATGCGCACAATGAATTCAAAATCATAGACATTTTATAATTGATTAGCTATAACTGATACATACAATCTAATAAATACTAAATAGTGTGATATTTATCATTTCAGGTATAAGGAGCCAGGCATGTCCCAGTTTCTCATGGAGAGCTCGTGTTTGGATCCCAGGTTCAAGTCATTGCCATACCTGACTGAAGCTGATAGATTGGAGGTCTTCACAGCAATCACTCACACGGCAGCAGCTCTCCCTGGGCAACAGACAGGACAGATCCAGGTGTGGCCAAATATTAGTTTCCTGTTCCCCCGACACACTATTTTTATTTTACTATAAGTTTAAAACAGGAAGCAACATGTTCTGTTTTCAGTATAATGTACAGCTTTTTGATCACCCGAATCAACTATCTGTAATCTGTAGTGTATTCAGCACCAGATTAAAAATTCTCTATAAAGTTTTGTTAAGTAGTAAACAAACTGAAATGTCTGTATGGTAATTTTTTTTCAGGTGAAGCGCGAGCCTCAGGATACAGTTCCCCCGGCAGGACAGTGACTCTCTTGGCAGTCAAGAAACATCTGTGGCTGATTCCGACCCGACAAAGTAAAAGGCGAAAGTCAGCATTACAAGATCTGTTTGGAGATGTTTTCGTAACCAAAGTTGAACCTGCTAGATCTATAGATATATGAGCGAGTGAAATCAGAAATTGGTTCCTACAAAAATGAGCCATGCATATCACCTGATGCAAATCCTCTTAAATGGTGGAGGGCCCATGCAGGACACCAAATATCCCTTGTTGTCAAATTTGGCAAAGCAGTATTTGTGTGTACCCGCTACTTCTGTGGCCAGTGAAAGAATATTCTCTACCGCAGGAGATCTAGTCACGGCCCAGAGATCATGCTTATCGCCTGATCAAGTTGATGTATTAATTTTTCTTAAGAAAAATATGTAACTGATGGTGACTACACATGTCATGAGAAGCACTAACACACAGTTATTGGAATTGTGTTTCTTACACCTAATCAATGAAGTACAAAGACACTGAGATGGACTATTGGACATATATGCCTATTTGGTTACTTTTACTGAAGTCAAATATTTGAATTTCTTGTACAAAGGTTTTGTTGAATTTGCCCTAACATTTGGGTATTGTATATTAAAGGTTTGTTGTTCAAAGAATTTTAGTGACATTCTTATTTAATATTTATAAACCAGTCTGATTATTAAATTTGCACTTCTGTTTGGTGTTATAAGATTTGTAATTGATCGCAAATATTCGAACCGAAAATAACCGAACTGAAATGTGAAAACCAAAAACCGAACCGAACCGTGAAGTTGTGATTCGTTGCACCCCTAATATATATATATTA